GACAAAGTCCTCAAGCCTTAGCTCTCAGGCTACAGCTTCATAAGATCACCCCAAGTCCCTGTCCCCGTGGTTGGGAATTCCTCCTATGGACACCCACAGACCCTGTAGACTCCCCTCCTGAACTCTGATCCTTCAGGCCTCTGCATTAGACTGTGAATATCTCAAAAGTGTTTGCTGGATTTACTGGTGTACCGGTGGTGCACAGTAGGTGCCTAATAAATCACTAAGAAACTAAGCCAGGCGGCCTAGTGCAGTGGCTCATGCCTGTAATCCCAGCACTTTGGGAGGCTGAGGCAGAGGGATCACTTGAGGTCAGGAGTTCAAGACCAGCCTGGCCAACATGGCAAAACCCCGTCTCTACTGAAAATACAAAAATTAGCTGGGCGAGCTGACGTCCGCCTGTAATCCCAGCTGCTCAGGAGGTTGAGGTAGGAGAACTGTTTGAACCTGGGAGGTGGAGGAGGTTACAGTGAGCTGGGATCGCACCACTGCACTCTACCCTGGGTGACAGAATGAGACTCCGACTCAAAAACAAAGAAAGGTACAGGGCATGGATGAATGATACAGATCTGTTGTGGGGGATGAGGGGTGGAATAACAAGGTCAGGAGTTCGAGACCATCCTGGCTAACACGGTGAAACCCTGTCTCTACTAAAAATACAAAAATTAGCTGGGCATGGTGGCAGGCACCTGTAGTCCCAGCTACTCGGGAGGCTGAGGTGGAAGAATGGTGTGAACCTGGGAGGCAGAGCTTGCAGTGAGCCGAGATCATGCCATGCACTCCAGCCTGGGCGACAGAGCGAGACTCCGTCTCAAAAAAAAAAAGCCAGGCAAGGTGACTCACACCCATAATCACGGCACTTTGGGAGGCCAAGGCAGGCAGATCGCTTGAGCACAGAAGTCTGAGATCTGCCTGGGCAACATGGCGAGACCCTGTCTCCATGAAACAAGATAAAATAAAAAAACTAAGTACTGTTCCATCATTTGCCTCGTAAAATCTAAACTCTCTGGTGTGGAACAGACTTGCAAAGCTGCCTGTAAAATCATACACCGGATTTTGGAGTAGACACACAGGAGGTTGATTGTACTGCTGGCTTCCAGGAGAAGAACTGGGGGTAGGGGGCACAGATAAGAGTAGACAGAATTTTCACCCTAGTAATCTTTTTGTAGTTTTTGAAATTTTCTCTACCAGGTATATGAAAGACCAATGAAAATATACAATAGGCCAGGCGCGGTGGCTCATGCCTGTAATCCCAGCACTTTGGGAGGTCGAGGAGGGTGGATCACCTGAGGTCAGAAGTCTGAGGCCAGCCTGACCCACATGGTGAAACCTCGTCTCTACTGAAAATACAAACATTAGCCAGTTAGGGAGCATCACTTGAGAACAGGAGTTCAAGACCAGCCTGGACAACAAAGCAAGACCTCCATCTCTACAAAAAAAAAAAAAAAAAAAATTCTGGGCATGGTGGCACATGCCTGTAGCCTCAGCTACTTAGGTGGCTGCAGCAGAGGGTCATCTGGGGCCAGGAATTCAAGACTACAGTGAACTATAATCGTTACACTGCACTACAGACTGGGTGAGATCCTGTCTCAAAAACAACAGCAACAAAATAAAGGATTAAAAGACCCTTTAAAATTGCAAAATACATAGAGTCTTAAACATGCATCCACAGTTATTTATTTATTTATTTATTTTGAGACGGAGTTTCACTCTTGTTGCCCAAGCTGGAGTGCAATGGTGTGATATCAGCTCACTGCAACCTCCGCCTCCCAAGTTCAAGCAGTTCTCTTGCCTCAGTCTCCCAAGTAGCTGGGATTACAGGCACACGCCACCATGCTCCGCTAATTTTGTATTTTTAGTAGAGATGGGGTTTTGCCATATTGGCCAGGATGGTTTCGAACCCCTGACCTCAGGTGATCCACCCACCTCGGCCTCCCAAAGTGCTAGGATTACAGGAGTGAGCCACCGCACCCAGCCACATTCAGTTATTCTTGCAGGGATAAAATACACAATGAAATACACTATACTGGCCAGGTGCGGTGGCTCACGTCTGATCACGAGGTCAGGAGATCGAGACCATCCTGGCTAACACGGTGAAACCCCATCTCTACTAAAAATACAAAAAATTAGCCGGGCGTGGTGGCAGGCGCCTGTAGTCCCCGCTACTCAGGAGGCTGAAACAGGAGAATGGCGTGAACCCAGGGAGGTGGAGCTTGCAGTGAGCCAAGATCGTGCCACTGCACTCCAGCCTGGGAGACAGAGCGAGACTCCATCTCAAAAAAAAAAAAAAAAAAAAAAAGAAATACACTATACTTTTTTTTTTCTTTTTCTTTTTTTGAGACAGAGTCTCACTCGTCACACGGGCTGGAGTGCGGTGCGGGATCTCAGCCCACTGCAACCTCTGCCTCCCGGGTTCAAGTGATTCCCCTGAGTCAGCTTCCTGAGTAGCTGGGATTACAGGCGCCTGCCACTACGCCCAGCTAATTTTTTTGTATTTTTAGTAGAGACAAGGTTTCACCATGTTGGCCAGGCTGGTCTCGAACTCCTGATCTCATGATTTGCCCACTTTGGCCTCCCAAAGTGCTGGGATTACAGGCATGAGCCACCGCACCCAGCCACTTTTTTTTTTTTTTTTTTTTGAGGCAGGATCTTACTCTGTCACTCAGGCTGGAGTACAGTGGCATGAACATGGCTCACTGCAGCCTCAATCTCTTGGGTTCAGGTGATCCTTCTGCCTTAGCCTCCTCATTAGCTGGGACCACAGGCATATACCATCACACCCAGCTAATTTTTAAATTTTTGGTAGAGACCAGGTGCGGTGGCTCATGCCTGTCATCCCAGCACTTTGGGAGGCCAAGGCGGGTGGGTCACCTGAGGTCGGGAGTTCGAGACCAGCCTGGCCAATATGGTGAAACCCTGTCTCTACTAAAAATACAAAAAAAAAAAAAAAAAAAAAAAAAAATTAGCTGGGTGTAGTGGTGGGCGCCTGTAATCCCAGCTACTCAGGAGGCTGAGGCAGGAGAATCGCTTGAACCTGGGAGACGGAGGTTGCAGTGAGCCAAGATCATGCCACTGCACTCCAGCCTGGGCAACAGAGTGAGATTCTGTCTCAAAAAAATAATAATATTAATAATAATAATGCTATTCATTGAGTTTTCACCTTGTACCAAGCATGGGAAGCTTTGCCTCCATTATGTCACTGAAATCTCATAACCTCCTTTTCCAGCAGAGGAAAATGAGGTTGCTTTACAGACCAGGTTGTCAACAGCTGTGCTCTGTCCAGAACGCGCTGACCTCCAAGTAGACAGCTCTGGACGGGTAGGGAAGTCTGCTATGATCCGGTGGCGCCCCCTGGAGGTCTACCGGGAACATGGTAAAGAACCTAGGCTGGGCGTGGTGGCTCACGCCTGTAATCCCAGCACTTTGGGAGGCCAAGGACAGTGGATCACGAGATCAGTAAATCGAGACCATGCTGGCTAACACGGTGATACCCCGTCTCTACTAAAAATACAAAAAATTAGCCGGGCGTGGTGGCGGGCGCCTGTAGTCCCAGCTACTCAGGAGGCTGAGGCAGGAGAATGGCGTGAACCCGGGAGGTGGAGCTTGCAGTGAGCCGAGATCGCGCCACTGCACTCCAGCCTGGGCGACAGAGCTAGACTCTGTCTCAAAAAAAAAAAAAAAAAAAAAAAAAAAAACCTGAAAATGGGTGGGCCACGGTAGTAGCTCATGCCTGTAATCCCAGCACTTTGGGGGACCGATGCAGGAGAATTGCTTGAGCCCAGTTCAAGACCAGCCTGGGCAACATTGGGAGGCCCAACCCCCGCCATCTCTACAAAAAACAAAAAAACAAAAAACACACACACACATACACACACAAATTAGGCCGGGCGCGGTGGCTCAGGCCTGTAATCCCAGCACTTTGGGAGGCCGAGGTGGGTGGATCACCTGAGGTCAGGAGTTCAAGACTGGCCTGGCCAACATGGTGCAACCCTGTCTCTAATAAAAATACGAAAATTAGGGCCGGGCGTAGTGGCTGATGCCTGTAATCCCAGCACTTTGGGAGGCCGAGGCGGGCGGATCATGAGGTCAGGAGAATGAAACCATCCTGGCTAACACGGTGAAACCCAGTCTCTACTAAAAATACAAAAAATTAGCCGGGCGTGGTGACGGGCGCCCGTAGTCTCAGCTACTCGGTAAGCTGAGGCAGGGAATCGCTTGAACCCGGGAGGCCGAGATCGCACCACTGCACTCCGTCCTGGGCGGCAGAGCGATACTCCGTCTCAAAATACAAATATAAAATAAAAAAAATACAGTACAAAAATTAGCCGGGCGTGCGCACCTGTAGACCAGCTACTCGGGAGACTGAGGCAGGAGGATCCCTTGAGCTCTGCAGGTCGAGGCTGCAGTGAGCCATGTTCTCGCCCTTTGCACTCCAGCCTGGGCGACAGAGCAAGACCTTGTCTCTAAAAACCAAAACAAAGAAACAAAATGAGCATTCGGATTTGTTAGGGGGTGAAAAGGGAGGCAGTCCAGGATCTGTGGACTCCCCACTTTTGTTCTGTCCTTGGAGAGCCCTGGAAAGTCTGAGAGTGTACAGGACCCTGGTCTAGGGGGTAGGGGACACAAATAACTAATCTGAGGGGTTTCGGGGGGACATAGCCATGCCGTGGGGAATCTAAACTGGGAGGCATGGTCTGGCAGGCCCAATCCTGAAGGATTTCTATGGGCAATAAGGCCCTTCCTTTAAACAAATAAAAAAACAAACGACATTAACTGGATAAAGAAAAAACCATCTCCAAGAGCCTTGGAGGCGGAATGAAGGCGTGGCCCGGTGGGCGTGACCAACAGTAAAAGCTTAAGCGTTATTGGTTGTATTCTTTAGTTGCTCGCTCCAGAACTGCCCACTTATGGGCGGGGAGGCCGCTTCTTCAGGCTTAGCAGTCATTGGCTGAATTGGGCCAGAGAGGTCTCATTGGCTGAGTTCCTGCACCGCTCGTAGGAGGCGGGACCCAAAGTAGGCGAGGCCTACGGAAGCTGGGGCTTCTTGCTGTGAGGTCCGGTTATCTAGTGTTGTGGAGGGTCCTTGAGGCAGGAGTAAAAATTGGGTCTGGGGATTAGTCCTGGGGTGGAGGTCTGGGCACGCCAGGTCGGACCCCCTCCATCTTCGGTTTTACACACCCAGCTTTCCAGGGGTGAGTCGCGGCGGATCGGGCGGCGTCGCGTGCGTGACGTCATCCATCGGCGCCGCGCGAAGCTCCAGTGGCCTTGACCTCCCGCGGCGTGGGAGGCTGTGAGGCGATGCTGCAGTTGGTCCGGGCCGGGGCGCGCGCCTGGCTTCGGCCTACAGGCTGCCGGGTGAGGCCAGGGGCTGGAGGCGTGGTCGAAGGATGAAATTTGGGGGTGTCCAGGGGTCGTCTCTCACTTTCGCCCACCCCTTGCAGGGCCTGAGTTCGCTGGCGGAAGAGGCAGCGCGTCCGACCGAGAACCCGGAGCAGGTGGCGGTGGCGAGCGAGGGTAAGGCAACCGGGGTGGCTCCAGGAGGGGCAGCGACAGAGAGATTTGACCCTTGACCCTAACCCCTGACCCCCGCCATCGCTCCAGGTCTCCCGGAGCCCGTGCTGCGCAAAGTCGAGCTCCCGGTACCCGCTCATCGACGCCCGGTGCAGGCCTGGGTCGAGTCCCTGCGAGGCTTCGAGCAGGAGCGCGTGGGCCTGGCCGACCTGCACCCCGATGTTTTCGCTACCGCGCCCAGGTGAGCGAAGACTGTAATGGTGAACTGAGTGGCAGAGGGATGAAGAGCGGGAGTTCAGGAGTCAGGATGACTTTGGGCTTGTACCGTTGGAAAAGTGCTGGATTTCTACAGCCTCCTTTTCTCCACCTGTCAAAGGGGGGGATGATGACAGTTTCCCCTGCTGTAGCGCTGTGTGAGATTGAAGCCTGAGAGGTGACATCCTCTAAGGGTTAGGGAGATGGAACTCTGGAGCCCGACTGATTAGGTTCAAATCCTGCCTTCACCTCTTGTGCCTCAGTGCCCCTATTTTGTCAGCTCTCGGGAGGTTGCTGTGATGAGTAAATGACTTAATTCTGGCACATAATAAGTTTTATAGAAATGCTGATAATCTTTATTAATTGTTTTTTGCAAATAAGAGCACTAAAGAGACTAAACCATTCCTAGGTGCCTGGAAGAGGCTGTTTGCATTTTAGTTAACCTGCTGTTCATAACATCTCTAAGAAAATGTAGGGGCCACGTTGGGCGCGGTGGCTCACGCCTGTAATTCCAGCACTTTGGGAGTCCGAGGCGGGTGGATCACGAGGTCAGGAGATCGAGACCATCCTGGCTAACACGGTGAAACCCTGTCTCTACTAAAAATACAAAAAGAAATTAGCCGGGCGTGGTGGCGGGCACCTGTAGTCCCAGCTACTCGGGAGACTAAGGTAGGAGAATGGCGTGAACCCGGGAGGCGGAGCTTGCAGTGAGCCAAGATCGTGCCACTGCACTCCATCCTGGACGACAAAGCGAGACTCCGTCTCAAAAAAAATAAGGAAAGAAAATGTAGGGGCTGCGTACTGTGGCTCACCTCTGTGATCCCAGCACATTGGGAGGCCGAGGCGGGCGGATCACTTAAAGCCAGGAGTTGGAGACCAGCCTGGCCAACATGGTGAAACCCTGTCTCTACTAAAAATACAAACATTAGCCTGACATCATAGTGCAAGCCTGTAGTCCCAGCTACTTTGGAGGCTGAGGCATGAGAATCACTTGCACCCAGGGAGATAGAGGTTGCAGTGAGCCGAGATCATACCACTGCACTCCAGCCTGGGCAACAGAGACGGACTCCATCTAAAAAAAAAAAAAACCGGTGCAATTGATTTCAATAATGTAAATACATTTAAATACCTGTATTTAAAACTATGTCAAAATCACATTTTAGCATGGAGCACTGGGCACGTTTCAGATGTTGAGTATGTGACTGTATGGAATGGTATAGAACTAGAGAGGCAAACCAGTCCCCTAAGAAGGTGGCAATAAGTCAAGTGTAATAGCAGGAAAAAAGTAATGGTAGGAAAAACAAGAAGGGGTGGCTTTTTTTTTTTTTTTTTTTGAGACAAAGTTTGGCTCTTGTCGCCCAGGCTGGAGCGCAGTGGCACGCTTGCTCTCGGCTCACTTCAACCTCTGCCTCCTGGGTTCTAGTAATTCTCATGCCTCAGCCTCCCGAGTAGCTGGAATGACAGATATGTACCTCTGTGCCCAGCTAATTTTTGTATATTTTGGAGAGACATGGCTTCTCCATGTTGCCCAGGCTGGTCTTAAACTCATGGCCACAAGTGATCCACCTGCCTTGGCCTCCCAAAGTGCCAGGATTACAGGCATGAGCCACTGCACCTGGTCAGGGTGGCTCTTTCTTTAGGAGGCGCCTCTCAGCAGTTATCGGGGCTGACACCTGTAGGCTGAGAAGGAACCATCCAGGACAGTGTTTCAGACAGAGGGAAGAGCAAGTGCCAAGGTCTTAAGGCAGAATTTCAAGATGGGGTCAGTGAGGGGCAGAAGCAAATCACACAGGGCCCCGGAGGCGGAAGGGAGAATCCTGGGTTTTCCTGTATTGGAGGTGGAGGCTTTTGAAGCAGAGTTGGGCTTCTCATGTGTCCTTCCTCCCTGCAGGCTGGACATCCTGCACCAGGTTGCCATGTGGCAGAAGAACTTCAAGAGGATTGTGAGTGCCTAAATGGAGCAAGGTGGCAGGAAGGAGGAGCTTCCTGGGGAGGTTGGGGACGGGACCCAGAGGAAGCCCATCACTGGGTTTTCTCCGGACTGCTCGGCTGGAGCCTCATCTGTTTCCTGAGCCACTCACTGATGGGTCCATTTTTAGTTCTCTTTTTTTTTTGAGATGGAGATGGAGTCTCACTCTGTCACCCAGGCTGGAGTGCAGTGGCACGATCTCAGTTCACTGCAACCTCTGCTTCCTGGGTTCAAGTGATTCCCCTGCCTCTGCCTCCTGAGTAGCTGGGATTACAGGTGTGTGCCACCACGTGGGCTAATTTTTGTATTTTTAGTAGAGACGGAGTTTCACCATGTTGGCCAGGCTGGTCTCAAACTCCTGACCTCAAGGAACCTACCTGCCTCGGCCTCCCAAAGTGCTGGGATTACAGGTGTGAGCCACCATGCCCAGCTCATTTTCAGTTGTTTTCTGATCACTCACTGATGTGGGCATTGTGGTGGGTGAGAGAGGATCTAGCAGGGACCACAAGGACAAAACAGGCAAGGTTGGGCTGGGTGCAGTGGCTCAGGCCTGTAATCCCAGCAGTGGAGGCTGAGGTGGGTGGGTTGCTTGGGACCAGGAAAGACCAGCCTGGGAAACAGCAAGACCCAGTCTCTACCCCTTCCCCCACAACCCCCCGAAAAAGATGGGCAAAGTTCCGATTCTAATGAAGGTCAGTGTCATGGGAGAAGTGAACGTGAGTCAGATGGTCATACGCAATGTGTAATTATGAGCATGTCCCAGAGAACGGGATGTTCAACCTTAGGTCTACTGAGAAGCTAACCAGATCAAAGAGGCAGTGGGGCTAGGGTAGAGATAACAGGAACGGGGCGTGCAAAGGCCCCATGGCAGGGACCACAAGGAACCCAGTGTTGCCACAGAGGCCAGTGGGAGCAGTGGGGAGGCGTCTGGGTTTTATGCCAAGAACATTGAAGAATCCATTACCAGTTGGGGTCTCATCCATCCACCCCAGAGGTCTGGCCAGTCCTTCCCCTGTCACACCTTCCCTGGCTCCCCATCACCCTAGGAATAAAGTCATCAGTCTGCTATTCCGAGCTCTTCCTGATTTCCTTGCCCTGCTCCTCTTTCCTCATTCTCCCTGTCTGTGTCATTCCCTCCTTGCAGCTACAACCACATTAAAATTGTTCAAAAATAGGCCGGTACAGTGGCTCACACCTGTAATCCCAGCACTTTGGGAGGCCAAGGCAGGTGGATCACTTGAGGCCGGGAGTTCCAGAACAGCCTAGTCAATGTGGCAAAACCCCATCTCTACTAAAAATACAAATAATTAGCCGGGCCCAGGCGCGGTGGCTCACGCCTGTAATCCCAGTACTTTGGGAGACCAAGGCGGGTGGATCACAAGGTCAGGAGTTCGAGACCAGCCTGACCAATATGGTGAAACCCCGTCTCTACTAAAAATACTAAATATTAGTATTTACTAATAACTAAAAATACAAATATTAGTTGGGCGTGGTGGTGGGCGCCTGTCGTCCGAGCTACTCTGGAGGCTGAGACAGGAGAATTGCTTGAACCCGGGAAGCAGAGGTTGCAGTGAACTGAGATCACGCCACTGCACTCCGGCCTGGGTGACACAGCAAGACTCCATCTGAAAAAAAAAAAATTAGCCTGGCATGGTGACGGGCACCTGTAATCTCAGCTACTTGGGAGGCTGAGGCTGGAGAATCACTTGAATCCAGGAATCAGAGGTTGCAGTGAGCCGAGGTCGCACCACTTGCACTCCACAGCCTGGGTGACAGAGTGAGACTGTCTCAAAAAAAAAAAAAAATCAATAGTTCAGAAAATACCGAGCACCCCCTGCATGCCCGGCGGCAGAGCCCCTGCCTTTGTGAGGCTGGCATGGGGCAGGAGCTCCGACTTCTTTACCCTCCCCCTCGGTCCCCAGGCTCTCTGTGCTTGGCCTGAGAGAGCCCATCATCATGGTGCCTCCTGCCTGACTTCCCCATGGCAGGACTGATCTGCCCGGCTCCCTGACACCTGCCTCGTGGACCTGACCCCCTCCTCACTTTGTGCCTCCAGAGCTATGCCAAGACCAAGACGAGGGCCGAGGTACGGGGTGGTGGCCGGAAGCCTTGGCCACAGAAAGGCACCGGGCGGGCCCGGCATGGCAGCATCCGCTCTCCACTCTGGCGAGGAGGTAACTGGGGACAGGGTGGAGGGGGCAGAGAGGGGTGGGGGAGCCAGGGAAGGACCTGGGTGTTTACTCACACACAGCTGCGCACATCTGGCGTGGTATCGTGTCAGCCCTGTTCCCTCCACCTCATGGAACCACTGGGCTGGTGACATTGGAACTGAGGTCCTTGGACCTCACTACCCATGTTGGGGGACAGATCTGGGAGCCATCCACTCCTCCTTCTCTCATGCCCTCCCTCTTCAGCCCGTGGCCACAGCCCCTCTTGACCTCACCTCCTGTCATCCTCTTCTGACCCACACTTCCCACAGCACCTGCAGAGCTCTTCCTAAATCTCCCACCTCCCTCAGCCTTTGCGTGGAAGCTGAACTCCTGACCTTGTCATCGTGGGCCCTGGTGGCTGCACACCTTGCCCCCTCATCCCCTCCTTTCCCTCTCTGACCAGGCAGAGATGACTCTCTTTTTTTTTTTTTGGTTGTAGTTGTTGGTTTGTTTTTAACTTTTTATTTTCTTGGATGCTAACAAGATGATTCAGGGTGGTGCCAGCCACCCCGTCACCTGTTTACCCGGCCAGCTCTCCTCACCTTTCAGGGTTCTGGGCCACACCTCCTCCAGGAAGCTTCCCTTGATCTCCTTTCCTTCCACATCCCCCAGGGCTACCCTGATTTCTTCTACAGCTGAGCCTCTTTTCTGCCCTGCCGAAATGTGAATGGCATGAGGGCAGGGACCATGTCTGTCGTCTTCTCTGCTGCATATCCAAGGCCCAGGCGAGGGCGGACACCAACACATGGTGCTTGCAGGGGTCTCCCCAACTGTTATTGCTCCCAAATCATACTGCTAGCTCCACTGGAAAGTGTGCCTGATGCCTCCCTCTCCCCCTAGACCTGAAAGTTCGAACCTCCTCATAATTTCAGCATTAACAGCTGTGCTTGAGTTAAGTTCACCCTCTAGCCACTCGACGGAATCCACACCATAACTCCTGGTGTCCTATGAGGCAGGAACTGTCCGATCTCAAGGTGATTTGTTTTTTTTATTGTTTGCTTTTGAGGCAGGATCTCACTGTATTGCTCAGGCTGTAGTGCAGTGGCGCAATCATAGCTCACTGCAGCCTTGAGCTCCTGGGCTCAAGTGATCTCCGTCCTCAGCCTCCCAAAGTGCTGGTATGAGCCACCTTCGCCAGCCCTGTCTCAGAGTGTGACAGCTGGGGAAACTGAAGCCCAGTGAAGCAAAGTCACTGGTCCCATGTTGTCCCTGATCCAGCCTCCCCTGAGGCCCCACCCTCTCTGCCTGATTCCTGGCAGTGCCCCCTCTCTCCTGTCACCCCATGCCAGCCACTGCAGCAGATTGCTGACCTCCAAGCTCTGCAGTGGCCCCTCCCTGCTCACACGCCTCTGTCCCCACAGGAGGTGTTGCCCATGGCCCCCGGGGCCCCACGAGTTACTACTACATGCTGCCCATGAAGGTGCGGGCCCTGGGCCTCAAAGTGGCACTGAGCATCAAGCTGGCCCAGGTATAGCCATGGGGGGCCCAGACAGCTGCTAGAGGTGGGGCTGCTCTGGACCCAAGGCTCAAACCATCCTTTCCTTTCACCAGGATGACCTGCACATTATGGACTCCCTAGAGCTGCCCACCAGAGACCCACAGTACCTGACGGAGCTGGCGCGCTACCGCCGCTGGGGGGACTCCGTGCTCCTCGTGGACTTGTGAGGACACAGGGCAGAGCAGGGGCAGGGGGCCTGAGCTCTGTACTCTGAGGGTTCAACCCCCACTCCCTGTCCTCTCTTACAGGACATACGAGGAGATGCCACAGAGCATCGTGGAGGCCACCTCTAGGCTCAAGACCTTCAACCTGATCCCGGCTGTTGGTGAGCTAAGGCCCAGGCCCCCAGAGTGTGCACGTGCAGTCTCCACTGTTAGAATCACAGCGGTTCAAATCCAGCGTCTGGTCGCTGAGTGGCCTTGGGCAGTGACCACGCGCCCAGACCCAACTCTCAGCTTGCCCAAAGCAATAATCTTTCCTAAAGAGGTGCTTGGCTGGGGATGGTGGCTCATGCTTGTAATCCCAGTACTTTGGGAGGCCAAGACAGTCTGGCCAATATAGTGAGGCTCCCATCTATACTAGAAATAAAAAAGTTAGGCGTGGTGGTGTGCACCTGTAGTCCCAGCTACTCAGGGGGCTGAGCTAGGCGGATAGCTTGAGCTCCGGGGGCCAAGGCTTCAGTGAGTCATGATCGCACCACTGCACCCAAACCTGGGGGAGAGAGCGAGACTCTTGCCTCAAAAAAAAAAAAAAGGCTCCAAGGTCACCTCTGCCAAAGCCACAGTCTGTTCCTTTCACAGCCACCAGATGGCGACGTGAGCCTGAGTCAGGTCCTGTCCCTCAACCCACAGCCCTTGCTGGCTTTCCCAGCTCTCTCAGGATGAAAGCCCAAGTCCTCAGGGTGGCACATCAGGCCCTGCATGACCCGCCCCGTCACTCCCCTGCCCTCCCATCGTTTGCCCTGGGTCTCCCTCACCGGAATGGGAGCCAGGAGTCCCAGCCAGGCACAGGGCCGAGCCTGGCATTCCGAGGGACTCGGCCAGCAGATGATGATCTGGGAGCAGCTCCTTGGCCAGAGGCTTACAGGCAACAAGCGGCCGGGCAGGGTCTGGCCCTGGGCTGCTGGGCTCACAAAGTCACACTAGACCACGGTGAAGGTCTCTCTTCTGTAAGCACAAAGGGACTCCAATGTGGGTGGGATGAGGAGAGAGGCAGCCCCGCCCTGACCGTCCCCCACCCCGCCCCCAGGCCTAAATGTGCACAGCATGCTCAAGCACCAGACGCTGGTCCTGACGCTGCCCACCATCGCCTTCCTGGAGGACAAGCTGCTCTGGCAGGACTCGCGTTACAAACCCCTCTACCCCTTCAACCTGCCCTACAGCAACTTCCCCTGACCCCCGCCCCACGCTACCCAGGGCCCGGTGGCCACCCCGTACCACTCATGATGTGAAGCACCTCTTCTGAGCCAGGCAGAGCCCGTGGCTGACTTGGGAGCCTCAGGCCCACGCCCACCCTTCGAGGATGGTGCCACCTGGACCCCCTCATTCCAGGGAGGAAACTGAGGCCACAGGGAGTGGCCATCGCCATTGGGAAGGGGCGACTCCACAGAGAGCCCAGGCGGGCTCCTGCATCCATTCTCTCTTTGTTTTTAAAATAAATTGTATTTTTGAATCAAGGAGGATAAACAGATAACTTCTCAGTGTCATTTTTAATAACTGCATTGGGCACGTTGGGCTCCTTCCCGGGTTCTGGGCACCGCTGAGGATCCGCCATCTCAAGAGGCTCACAGTCTGGTTTCAGGGAACCCCAGGGCTGTTTGTGGAAATTACAAGAATTCACTTACCCGGTGAGTCAGACTCCCGGAGCTCACAGGTGCGTGGGTGCCAGCACTTCCTAGGAGCTGACTCCTGCCACATCCTTCTCCTGAGCACTGCTGCCAGCCATTCCCACCCCGAGAGTGTTTGCAGTCCTGTCTGCGACATTACTTCATGCAGTCTGAGAGCGTGTGCTTGATTGTGCAATTAGATGTCATGTGTAAACCTGAGTTTTCAGAGTGACTTCCTGTAAGCACAGTCAGAAAAGTAAATGTCTCGCTGTAAGTGAGCAGATAAGCACATGTTTAAAAACACCAGCTGGGCGTGGTGACTCGCACCTGTAACTTTAGCACTTTGGGAGGTCAAGGTGGGAGGAGCACTTGAGCCCAGGAGTTCCAGACCAGCCTGGGCAACATGGTGAAACCCTGTCTCTGCAAAAAATACAAAAATTAAGTGGGCATGGTGGTGTCTACCTGTGGTCCCAGCTACTTGGGAGGCTGAGGTGGGAGGATCACCTGAGCCTAGGAAGCAGAGGTTGCAGTGAGCAGAGTGAGCCACCACACTCCAGCATGGGTGACAAAGTGAGACACTGTCATAAAAAAAAAAAAAACAGCATCCCAATTTTTGATTTTGCTGAGGTTGTTTGCCTGCCAAGTTAATTTTTCTTAACAGCCATAACAGACTATAATGCAGACAATGTGATCGATTTATTTAAAGTCAACCAGCTGGGTGCGGTGACTCACGCCTATAATCCCAGAACTTTGGGAGGCTCAGCCAGGTGGATCACCAGAGGTCAGGAGTTTTGAGACCACCCTGGCCAAGCCGGGAGTGGTGGCGGGTGCCTGTAATCCCAGCTACTCAGGAGGCTGAGGCAGGAGAATGGCTTGAATCCAGGAGGCAGAGCTTGCAGTGAGCCAAGATAGTGCCACTGTGCTCCAGCCTGGACGACAGAGGGAGACTCCATCTATAAATAAATAAAATAAAGTCAATCAGGACTGCCTTCTGCCTGTGTGGGCCTGGCCAGGCTAAGCAGTCACACAACCATCCCTACGTGCTGGGCCACCCCTGACTGAAAACCTCTCTGGAATTCCTCTCTCGGGATTGCCTTCGGAGATTGCAACACATTCTCCAAACACCCTCAGTGGACATAGACTTTGCTCCTTGAAGCAGCAGATTTGACTAAATAAAAAAGAAAAAGCTATTAAAACCAGTTGGCCGAGCGTGGTGTCTCACGCCTGTAATCCCAGCACTTTGGGAGGCCGAGGCTGGTGGATCACGAGGTCAGGAGATCGAGACCATCCCGGCTAACACGGTAAAACCCTGTCTGTACTAAAAATACAAAAAATTAGCCGGTCGTGGTGGCGGGCACCTGCAGTCCCAGCTACTCAGGAGGTTGAGGCAGGAGAATGGCATGAACCCGGGAGGCAGAGCTTGCAGTGAGCCAAGATCACGCCACTACACTCCAGCCTGGGTGACAGAGTGAGACTCGGTCTCAAAAACAACAACAGCAAAAAAAAAAAAAAACAGTTAAGGCCAGGTGCAGTGGCTCATGCCTATAATCCCAGCACTTTGGGAGGCCTAGGTGGGTGGATCACGAGGTCAAGAGATCAAGACCATCCTGGCCAACATGGTGAAACCCAGTCTCTACTAATAAAGTACAAAACATTAGCTGGGCGTGGTGGTGGGTGCCTGTAGTCCCAGCTACTCAGGAGGCTGAGGCAGGAGAAACACTTAAACCCGGGAGGCGGAGGTTGCAGGAGTCGAGACCGCACCACTGCACTCCAGCCTGGCGAGAGAGCAAGACTATCTCAAAAAAAAAAAAAAACCCACACAGTTAAAGGCGTGCCGAAGCTCAGAAGAAAATGCCGCCTCACTACTGTTCCTCTTGCCAGTCTTGTTGGGGCATCAAGGCCTAGAGTAACACCCAGCTGTTGGCCTGACAGTGCCTGGCCCAGCCTGGAGAGTTGCAGCCAGGAGTATAAATGTGGTTCAGTCTGCGTCATACCTGTCAGGAAACATGGTGAGACCAACTGCTGCCCAGACAGATTTTCAAAAGAAGTGGGTCAGAACGTATTCCCCCACACCGGAATCCCTCAGCCAGATTGAGGATAAAAACAGGCATCAGAAAAAAAATGATACAGACGGGCCTGGTGGCTCATGCCTGTAATCCCAGCACTTTGGGAGGTTGAGGCGGGAGCACAGGAGTTTGAGACCAGCCTGGGCAACATAGTGAGACCCTATCTCTACTAAAAATAGAATAGGGTATGGTGGTGTGCCTGTGGTCCCAGCTACTTTGGAGGCTGAGGCAGGAGGATCGTCTGAGCCCTGGGGGTGGAGGCTGCAGTGAGCTGAGATCGCACCACTGCAATCCAGCCTGGGCAACAGATCAAGACCCTGACTCAAAAAAAAAGAAGAAAGAAAAGAAAAGACAACTATCATACACTGCCTAGAACGTGCTTTAAAATAATTGGCATATGGCCGGGCGCGGTGGCTCAAGCCTGTAATCCCAGCACTTTGGGAGGCCGAGACGGGCGGATCACGAGGTCAGGAGATCGAGACCATCCTGGCTAACACGGTGAAACCCCGTCTCTACTAAAAAATACAAAAAACTAGCCGGGCGCAGTGGCAGGCGCCTGTAGTCCCAACTACTCGGGAGGCTGAGGCAGGAGAATGGCATGAACCCGGGAGGCGGAGCTTGCAGTGAGCTGAGATCCGGCCACTGCACCCCAGCCTGGGCGGTAGAGCGAGACTCCGTCTCAAAAATAAAATAAAATAAAATAAAATAAAATAAAATAAAATAATTGGCATAGTTGGACATGGTGGCATGCACCTGCAGTCCCAGCTACTTGGAAGGCTGTGGCCAGGAGTTTGAGACCAGCCTGGGCAACACAGCAAGACCTCGTCTCTATAAAAAATAGGCCGGAGCAGTGGCTCATGCCTGTAATCCCAGCACTTTGGGAGGCCAAGGCAGGTGGATCACTAGAGGACAGGAGTTCAAGACAGGCCTGGCCAATATGGTGAAACCCCGTCTCTACTAAAAATACAAAAATTGGTGGGACATGGTGGCAGGTGTCTATAATCCCAGCTACTTGGGAGGCTGAGGCAGGAGAATTGCTTGAACCTGGGAGGCGAAGGTTGCAGTGAGCCGAGATCACACCACTGCCCTCAAGCCTGGGGTGACAGTGCAAGACTTGGTCTCGAAAAAAAATGAATAATAAATGAAGGAATTAATGGATTAATTAGTTAATTAAATAGGTGGGGTATACGAGTTTGTTAGGGCTGCTGTAGGAGTGCCACAAACTGTGGGGGTTGGGGGGGTTAGTCAACAGAAATTTATTCTCTCCTGTTTCTGGAGGTTGGAAATCCAAGACGAAGAACAGGATTAGCTCCTTCTAAGGGAGTCTGTTCCAGATCCCTCTCCTAGCCTCTGGCGGTTTGCTTTGCTGACAATATTTGACATTCCTTGTCTTGTAGCCACACTGCTTCAGTCTCCACCTTCATCTTTACATGACGTTGTCCCTGTGGGTATGTGTCTGTTTCTGTGTCCAAATTTCTCCTTTTTTTTTTTTTCTTTTTTTTTTTCTTTCTTTCTTTTTTTTTTTTTTTCAGACAGAGTCTCACTTTCTTGCCCAGGCTGGAGTGCAGTGGCTCGATCTTGGCACACTTGCAACTTCCGCCTCCTGGATTCAAGTGATTCTCCTGCCTCAGCCTCCAGAGTAGCTGGGATTACAGGCAGCCACCACTACACCTGGCTAATTTTTGTGTTTTTAGTAGAGACAGGGTTTCACCATATTGGTCAGGCTGGTCTCGAACCCCTGACCTCAGGTGATCCACCCACTCTGGCCCCCCAAAGTGCTGGGATTACAAGCGTGAGCCACCGAACCTGGCCTATTTTTTTCATTTTTTTTTTTTTTTTTTTCAGACAGAGTTTTGCTCTTCTTGCCCAGGCTGGAGTGCAATGGCGCAATCTCGGCTAATCTCAACCTCCGCCTCCCGGGTTCAGGCAATTCTGCCTCAGCCTCCCGAGTAACTAGGATTACAGGCATGCTCCACAATACCTCGCTAATTTTGTATTGTTAGCAGAGACAGGGTTTCACCATGTTGGTCAGGCTGGTCTCGGATTCCCAACCTCAGGTGATCCGCCCGCCTCAGCCTCCCAAAGTGCTGAGATTACAGGCATGAGCCACTGAGCCTGGCCCTCTCCTTTCTATTTTTAAAATCTTTTTTGTGGCTGGGAGCAGTGGCTCACGCCTCTAATCCCAGCACTTTGGAAGGCCGAGGCAGGTGGAACACTTGAGGTCAAGAGTTTGAGAACAGCCTGACCAACACAGTGAAACCCCATCTCTACTAAAAATACAAAAGAATTAGCTGGGCGTGGTGCCGGGTGCCTGTATTCTCAGCTACGAGAGGCTGAGGCAGGAGAATCGTTTAAACTCTGGAGGCGGAGGTTGCAGCAAGGTGATATTGCGCCACTGCACTCCAGCCTGGGCAACAGAGCGAGACTCCATCTCTAAATAAATAAATAAATAAGGAGCTGTATTTCAGAATTTGGAGAAGGTGACACTAAGAGTACAGAATACACAGCTTTTGTTTGTTTGTTTGTTTTTATGGTTTTTTTTTTTGTTGTTGTTGTTGTTTTGAGACAGAGTCTCGCTCTGTCACCCAGGCTGGAGTGCAGTGGTGCAATCTCGGCTCACTGCAATCTCTGCCTCCCCGGTTCAAGCAAGTCTCCTGCCTCAATCTCCCGAGTAGCTGGGATCATAGGTGCCCGCCACCACTCCTGGCTAATTTTTGTATTTTTAGTAGAGACGGGGTTTCACCATGTTGGTCAGGCTGATCTCGAACTCTTGACCTCATGATCCCCCCACCTCGGCC